CCCGGGCCAGCCCGCCCCCCGCCGCGGCCACCGCTCACGGACCCAGCAGGCGTCAGACAAGAAACACAGACGGCCCGACAGACGTTAACGGCTCAGCGCTCCATCGCTCCGGGCCTGGGCTCCGGCCTCACGGATTGCTGAACACCGGCGCCCACGGAGGGAGTCACGTGTGCGCAGGAGCAATCAGCTGATCGCTTGCGCCACTGCGCAGGCGCAGCGCCGCCAGGCCTCCGAGGGGCGGGGGTTGGAGGCCGGGCAGCGGGGCACGAGGGCGGGGAGAGGGCGGGGCGAGAACGACCAAGGCAGGCCCGGCTCTTCTCAGTGGGCGGAAAGAGCAGTGGGTGGGGCCCAGACACTTCCGGGTAGGCGGGGAGTGGATGTAGCGAACCGGGCACTCCCAGGTGGGCGGGGCTTGCCGCCTCTTGGGTCCTTGGCGCCCACTGCTCCGTTGGTGGACTTTCTCCGGATTCGGGTTTCTGGGGGTTAGAATTTATTTGCAAAATTGCAAAATAAATAAAAACATTTTTTTAAAAAAAGAATTTATTTGCAACCCCCGCCCGGGTTTGTCCGCTCTGCATTTCCTAATATCCTTAATTCCTTGCACGCCAGCTCCAGTTAATCCCGTAAGTGTCCATGGTTACCGACAGTGCACCAGCCTCTCGGTGCTAGTTCTTTTAGCTTGGGGAGCTCGGTGCCGGCCCGTGTGCGGGGCGGGGCGAACCTCGCGTGCAGATCGCTCAGGCCGGGAAGCCGGGCCGGCTCCAGTACCCGCCAGGGCGCGCGCAGCGCTCTTTTCTGGGGATATTTCGTTAGGCTGGGAAGATGGGTGGTATCGGTCTAACCCGAAACAAAGATTCAGAAACAGTGGGGGACTCAAGATTTCCTGATTGAATACCTCGAGATCCACCGCGGAGGCCACCCTAGGGCTCCTCCTTTCCAGCTGTGCACAGCGCAGCGCTGATTAGCGTCCTCGCCTGCTGGATGGGGCGATGCTCCGCAGCTGACACACGCATCCCGCGCTTGGAGGAAGCGGGCGTGGGCGAGTGCTGGCACACAGAAAACGCCCAGGAAATGGTCAGTGCCGCTGGACCAGGCTTTCTGACCTGTCCCCTGCATTTCCTGTCTTGTGTCCCAGGAAAAATAATTCACCCAGAATTTCATAGGGCCTTGGTAGTATGTTGTACAAAAAGTATAAACCAACCAAGCTGCCCAGTTGATAAATTTCAGATAATTCCCATAGCCGGTTCTATAACACAGCTCTGGACACTTATCAAAAGTTCCAGGGAAGCCGGGCATGGTGGAGCACGCCTGTTACTCCAGCACTCCGGAGGCTGAGTCAGGAGGATCGTTGTGAGTTCGAGGCCAGCCTGGGCTAAAAGTGAGCTCAAAGTCAGCCTGAACTGCATAGCAAGACCCTGTCTCAAAAAGACAAAAAAAAAAAAAAAGTTCCAGGAACTTGTAGCCGGACACGGTGGTGCACGCCTTTAATCCCAGCCCTGGGGAGGCTGAGGCAGGAGGATCGCTGTGAGTCAGAGCCCATCCTAGGCTCCATAGTGAGTTGAAGGCCAGTCTGAACTATGTAGCAAGACCCTGTCTCAAAAAAAAGAATAAACAAAACCAGAGACTATGGGGGTTCTCAAAATGAGCTTGAAGGCATTTTTTGTAAATTGTATGTTGTTAATAAAGCTTTCTGCCAGGGATATAGGTCAGTGGCATGAGCACCTGCCTGGCAAGCACAAGGTCCTGAGTTCAATTCCTGCTACCAAAAAAGAAAGCTTTCTGTGCAGAAGGAAATATTCCTATGTACCTGTGCTGCCCGTATGGTATTCAGTAATGAGCACTTGAAGTGTGACTTGGGAACTGAATTTTAAACTTTAACCAGACTTGGTGGTACACGCCTGTAATTCCAGCACTTGGGAGGCTGAGGCAGGAGGATCGTTGTGAGTTCAAGGCCAGCCTGGGCTACAAAGTGAGCTCAAGGCCAGCCTGAACTGCATAGCAAGACCCTGTCTCAAAAAGACAAAAAAAATAAATAAATAAAAAATAAACTTTATTTCACTTTAATTAAAATTTAATGCCTGTTCCAGCTCTTAGGAGGCTGAGGGAGGAGGATCACCATGAGTTTGGGACTACTTACGGAGTTCAAGCATAGCCTTGAATACAGAGCAAGACCCTGTCAATCAATCAATCAATAGACCGGCTATTTTCTTAAGGAGACTTCCTCCACCACCACTGGTCTGGTGGGGTGTCCAGGAGTCTCTTGTCACAGAATTGATAAACTTTGCTTCTGCTTTGGAAGGAAAACCAACTTTTTCTATGCTTGATCGCGTGTTTGCTTTGTCTTCTGTGGAACTAGGCCCTTTCGATGTTTTAGTAACTTTTCGCTGCTTTGAAGGATGTTGACCTTGTGATCTTGGTGTTGTAGTTCTGAGTGATTTCCATTCTGGCTTGATTCTGTGAACTGCTGGCTGGAGTATCTTTCCATCTCATGGATGTCTTCACCCGAGATTTTCTTCAGTTTCCTCTTAAGCAAAATCGTCATCTTTTTCTTCATCATCTTCCTCGGTGGCAAAGTTTACTTTCTTATTGAAAATGCTACCGTTCCCAGGGACAGAGAGATACCCAGACACGCTGGAGAGTACTGGCCTCCTCCTCTTTATCTTCTGACTCCGCTTCTTCCTGAACAGCTAAGTGTGGTCCACTCGAATGTGTGGCCCTCACCCCTGCACCACAAGGACAAGCCGTGCACGCTACAGAGCACCCCTGCTCCCCCGTACACGCTACAGAGCACCCCTGCTCCCCCGTACACAAGACAGTCCCTACACAGAACTGTCTAAAGTGCCACGGTGCTGAGATCAGGGGCTGTGGTACCAGACCCAGAGAGTCTCAGATTGCCAGATTCTTGGTGTCTGTGTGTGTGTGGCCCTGGGCACACTCAGTGGCACACTACCGCTGAGCTATAGTCCCCCCCCTTTTTTTATTTTGAGACAGGATCTCACCAAGTTGCCCAGGTTGGTCCTGAATTTACAATCCCCCGTTCCAGCCTTCTGAATAGTTGGGATTACAGACCTGCACCACCATGCCAGCTAGATTCTCCGGTTTTTGGTTACCAAGGTAGTATATAATACCCTCGGGTTTTTAATCTGTAAAATTGAGACCATAATATCTTTTGTCTGCGGTTATGAGAATGCAGTCATGCCTCGGTACCACTGTAAAATGGGGTCATGTAAGAGATGACCATTACTTGGCCACTTCGGGTTGTCACCAGGCTCATTCACAAGCTAAGGGACTGCTCCTGTACGCCAGCCCCAGCGTGGATTCCTGGCTTGTCACAACCACAAGTTTCTACGCGTGGTGGCCCGCCCTGGAGAAGAACACAAACGAATGTTTTAATCAGCATATGCAAATTATGTAAAGAACAGTGCTTTTTATCAACAGGTACATACAATTGTATATACAAATGTACATACAAATGTATATACAATTGTACATACAAATGTGGTTCAGTATCCCACCTGCTGATTTTAGAGATTAGAACATAAAAAAAAGAAAAGAAAAGAAAAAACGAGGCTCAGAGAATTTGACTCACTTTCCAAAGGCGAAGATGTAGTAGCCACATAAAAGCCCAAAGAAATCTGGAAATCAGTTAACTGATTTAGTTAAACTATTCCTACGCAATAAGGTGAAATTATGGTAAGAGTTACAAACACTTTGAGTTTGGGAACTGAATGTTTTAAGCTGAAACTTTAGAGAACACGATCATTTTATGGAAAAGCAGCTCTGTGTGTCTGTCTGTCTGTCTGTTAGGGTCACACTGTGTGGCCAGGCTGGCCTGGAACTTTTTGCGATCCTCCTCCCCCAGGCCCTGACTGCTTGGCATGTGCCACCAGCCCAGCTCAGAATAACTTCTCTTTGAAACAGTGTTTCACTTACTCCTGTAGCTGTAGCCAAAACCTACTAATTGTTCAATAGTCAGAAAGCATACAAAGAAAATAAGCACTGCCATCGCCAGACACTCCGCGGAATCGGAGGCTGTGTCCCGTGGGAGCCTCTCTGTCCGGACTGCGCCTGGGCCCGGTCTGGGCTGAGGCAGTGCGGAGAGCCAGACGCACAGCCACCACCCCAGTGCCGGAGCCGGCATCCAGGCCTCTCGGTGGCGCACAGAGCCCCACCCTGGCCCCGGTGTGGAGTGGAACCCAGGCTGCCTGCTTACGGGTCACACCTTCCACACGGTCCTCTTACGCTGGATTCCCGTAGCGCCCCGCCCATGCAGCGCCTTTCCAGGCCTTGGAGGCCCGGCGGCCAAGGTCCAGGGGAGCACGGGGGCGGGGGCATTGAGCAGGTGAGAGCCGCGAGGATTGCACAACCGCCAGGAAGGCTGGCTCGCAGCGACTTCCCAGCAGAGGGGGAGAGAGAGGAGGCACCGCCCAGCTGTGCCTTTCCTGTCCCTCGGATTCCTGGCCCCCGAGCTAGAAACGGTCATCCTCGCTCTTAGCTTCGCAGAAACCCTATCCAGTCTTCTTAGGACCAGCACGTGTTCGCAGACACAGGCAAGCGACTTTCTTTAGAAGCAGCTCTGTTCACCGGGGTTGGGGGGTGCTCCGTGGGCTTCTAGGGATTCTTTCCAGCTTCCTGCGGTCCTGGGCAAAGAACTGGTGGAGACAAGCGCAGAAAAGGTAGCGAGGTTTTACCGTTAGTAAAGGTAGGAAAGAAACGCGCCCTGCACAGGGGCGTGGGCCAGTGTAAAGCAGGAAAAGAAGAAGTGCCGTCTGCGGGGTGAGCCGCACTGTGGGAGAGAGCAGCGAGGCCAGGAGCTCAACGGCTGCTGACTTCTGTACCCCCCACCCCTCGGGCCAGCTCAACGGTGCCATCTTATGTACCCGCCCCCACCCCTCGGGCCACCGTCGTCGGGCAAAAGCCTGCTTGATCTTTGCAGGAGAACTGAAGACAGCACTCCTGACTGGCCCCAGTGCGGGGCTGGGGACCGCCTTTCTGCTCCTGTGTCTGGATCTCCGTGATTGACAGGTCGCTCCCATGTATGCCCATGAGCCCAAAACCTAATCTCCCGCCCCAGCGCTGCCCTCCACCACCACGTCAGGGTTTTCTTCCTTCACTGTGACTCTTCTTTGCTCCATCCCGCTGTCCGTGACGCAGCAGATGTGAACAACCAGTGTTCCATGCTGAGACACGGCTCCCTGTGAACGAGAGTATTCAGTTTTCTCACATTAATGGTGTGAAAGTCATAGCACAGGAAGTGAGTATTCAGTAGTTGTAGCTATCAGTTTAGAGAAAAATGATGTATTTAATAATTAGAAACAGCATCTCTGTCCCTATCTGTTGTTTGTTTGTTTTCCTGAGACAGACTCTCGCCATGTAGCCCAGGAAGGCCTCAAACTTTTGGTGATCCTCCTGCCTCAGCCTCCCAAGTGCTGGTATGACACGCATGCACCACATGCCTAGCGTTTAGTCCCTATTTGTGATTACACCAAGTTCCTGAATTTAGGCACATTTATCTTTCAAGGTAGTTAATACAAAAATGATCAGGAGAAATGATGAATACTTGTTCTCAGTGCTGCTATGATTGGAACCTGGAGTGTCCCACGGCTCTGTGGTGACGGCTCTTCCCCAGCATGATGCCATCGGGAGGCGGGGAACCCAGCAACGCCACACAGAGCTACATCCCCAGCTCTTTTAAAAATTATTCTTCTCCGAGACAGGGTCTCTTTAAATTGTGTAGTTGCCCGGGCTGGGCACAAACGTGTGACCCTCCTGCTTCAGCCTCCCAGAATGTGTTCCCCGCCTGGCTTTGTAAGAGCCCGGGCCCCCATGGAGGTCATATGGGGGCTGCCCTCAACGGAGCCTGCGGGCTGAGGTCTCTTGCTCACTCTCTCTTTGCCTTCCCGCCCCCACAGGCTAAACCACCCCACGGGGCCCCTCCTGGAGGAGCGCCTCACCCTGGGCCAGGGCCACAGGGCCAGGGGTCCAGGCCTGAGCCCTTCCCTGGGAACTGGAGAGTCCTTTCCTTTTCATCCCTTATCTGGGGCAGATGGTACAGGGACGAGAAAACGAACTGCACAGGCCAGTCAGAATGGCCATGTTTGACACATTTACAGGGAAATTACCAGACGCCCAGGCAGTGTAGACAAGGGTGCTATGGGAGACCTGCTCTGCGCCTGTCTCTCTCCTCAAGGGGTTCAGTCATTCACTGTGTCACCAACAGTGTCAGAGGTAGAGATAGTGCCCACCTCCAGAGCTAAGGGCAAAAACACTTAAAAATAAGTGTGAAAGCAAAGCGTGGGGGTGCACGCCTGTGATCTTAGCACTCGGGAGGCTGAGGCAGGAGGATCTCCACAAGTTCAAGGCCAGCCTGGGCTACCTAGTGAGACCCTGTCTCAAAACACGTTTTCTTAAGAATAGTTTTAGATTTGTAGAAAAGTTGAGAAAATGGCAGAGAGTTCTCATATACTTACATTCAGTTTCCACCCGTTAGCTAACATCATGCGTCAGTGCAATTCGTTGCTCTGATTGAACCACTCTCACACACAGAAGCATAAATATTACATGGTTTCCACCAGGCGCGGTGGTGCACGCCTGTAATCCCAGCACTTGAGAGGCTGAGGCAGGAGGATCGCTGTAAGTTCGAGACCAGCCTGGGCTACAGAGTGACCTCAAGGCCAGCCTGAATTGCATAGCGAGACCCTGTCTCAAAAAGACAAAAAAAAAAAAAATTACATGGTTTCTTTTATAGGAGAAACTCAAAGTCTAAATAAACTAAAGAACAAAATAAAAGACAGCCGTAGGAAATAGGGACACTAAGCTTGGTGGCTCACGCCTGTAGTCCCAGTACTCAGGAGGCTGAGTCAGGAGGATCACAGTGAGTTTAAAGCCAGGCTGGGCTCATAGTTTAAGTCCAGAACTATGAAGGGCGACCATGTCTCAACAAAACAAAATAGAAACAGGGAGCGGCCTTTTGCAAATGAGAAGGGGACCAAGGGATGGTAGGGGAGGGGGAGAGGTGGATGAAAGACCGAGCTGTGTGAGGTCCCTGCACCACCTTCCGCAGGGAGTGTGACCATCCTGCAGATGTGGACTAATAAAAATAAATTTTATTTTATTTACCTTTTTTGTTTGGTACCGGGAATCAAACTCAGGACCTTGTGCTTGCCAGGCAGACGCTTGTGCCACTGAGCTATATCCCCGGCCCAAAAATAAATTTTAAATAAAAAATAACTACCATATATACATATACACGTGTCCAGCCTGAAAGGCTCGTGTTCCCTGAGCTCAGAGTTCCACTGCTGAAGCACAGCACTGCCTGCCTCGACCTCCGTCCTCACCCACCCACGTCTACCTGGGCCACTCAAGGGCGAGGGAACCTCATGCTGCTTGCTGTGCGATACTGATCCTTTTACTGTGGTCCAAGGGACCTGTGTTTTGGGTTTGGTTGGGTTTGACTTGGTTTGGTTTCGCAACAGGGTCTCACTGTGTAGCACAGACTGGCCTTGAACTTGCAGTGATCCTCCCGCCTCAGCCTCCTATGGGCTAGGGTCACAGGTGTGCCCTACCATGCCTGGTGGAAATATTGTTTGATGGCTGAGATAATTCACCTTGACCCTCATTAGTCCCAGAAGGGAAAGTCTCACAGCCATTGCAGAGCTGACTCTTTGATAAGAGCAGAGAAACATTCTCTGTACCAGAATCAGCAGGGAAACTGCTCTTCTCTTCTCCCACACAGCCCAGGTCCTGTCCCGAGCGCGGTGGCTGCACCGAACTCTCAGCATCATTCACGGCCTCCCTGACCGAGTGGGCAGAGGCGGCCGGGTCAGCCCCAGCTCCTGCTTGGCGCCGGGAGGCCTGGGGACAAACACCTCAGCCCCGCACACTCCTTTGTCCTTGTCACCCACACGAGTCCAGAGTCCCTTCCTCCAGCCGGGGTCATATCCGGCCCCGGGCAGCCCTCCCGCCTCGGCCTGTGAAACTGAACCTGCTCTCCAAGCCCCGGCCGAAGCCTGGAGTTTTCCTCTCGCCTGGTGCAGAAACCGTGGGTGGAAGCAGCGGAGACCAGGAACCACAGCTGCCCCGCGAGGGGCCGAGTGTGCGGCCCTGGCCCTGCAGTGCGGGGGCGCACGCGCCCCGGGGTCTGCCCGAGCCTGAGGGTGGGTGTGAACGCCGTCCGGGGTTGTGCCTGAACCGTCACAGTGACACGCCCCTAGCAGGTAAAATAGCAGGTCCTGGCCGCCAGGAGAACGGCTCAGGCGGTGACCGGGACCCGAGGGCCCTCGGTCCGCCTGCGGCCCCCGGCGGGCGGACTCCTGAGCCCCGGGAAATGGAAACGCCTGTCTGCTTTCCAGATCCCCGGCGGCGGCGGCCGGCGACCGCTTCCCCCTGCCTCCGGCCCGGCCCGGCGCCTGGGACTCAGACGGGGAAGAACTTCTTTCCAGGGCAGAAGCCCACAGCGGCCTGCAAAGAAAGCTTTCCCGTGGGCGGGCCCTGCCCCAGTTCACATTTCCTACAGAACGTGCAGCCAGGGTCGCGGCTGGTTCGTCCCGGCTGGTTCTCCACCCACGTGCCCCCCGAGAGGCTTATGTCCCGGGAATGTTGGCTGTGGCCTTCTGCTAAACCTGCAGCAGCCCTCCCTCACATTCCAGGGCTGGGAAATTAGCGATTTAAACCTCTCTCTGATCTGCACCATGGATCTATTCCTCACATCTTGTTTGTCTTTTTGGGACAGGGTCTCAATATGCAGTTCAGGCTGGCCTTGAGCTCACTTTGTTGCACAGGATGGTCTAGGACTTGCAACGACCCTCCTGCCTCAGCCTCCCAAGTGCTGGGATTACAGGCGTGCACCACCATGGCCAGCTTCCTCACATCTTCTTATAAAGGAAAAAAACGCGCGTTGGACTCACCACAGTGTGAACCTCGAAGTGCAAAGTAAGCGCTATGTGAAGGAGCTCACGGAGCTCAAGCTTTGCCAGTGCAGACAGGAGCTGGGGTGAGAACTCAGACTCACCCGCTTATGCTTATGTAGATTCATCCAGGCCGAGGAAAGCCCCAGCTCGGGGCTCTGAAAAACCTGGCAGAAGGCGAGGAGAGACGGAAATTAAAAGGGAGGCAGGGCTGCACCGTAACCAGCCAGGACAAGCCAGCCTGTCGGGAGATCGAGTTGTCTGGAACGCTACAGTGTTTTCTTCCATTGCTGTACACGCAAGACCCCTACCTAAGCTTTACTCCCAGCTCACTTGGAGTGCTTGTTAAAAATAGATTCAACCAGCAAGGTGGCCCTCAGGAGGCTGAGGCAGGAGGGTCGCTGTGAGTTCCAGGCCAGCCTGGCTTCATAGTGAAGATACTGTCTCAAAAGACCGCCCCCCAAAAAATCCCACAAAAACTAAAATGCAGATGCACACACTCCACCCAGGACTGGGAAATACCCTTCCTGATCCCATTGTCCGTAGGAGGGGCTGTGTGCTTGGGAGGTAGCTGCACTTTGGTCTTTGGAAGGTTTCCTTCCTGAGGCTGAAGATTCCCCAGGTGTGTGCTCCACCTACTTCCCCACCTGTGTTCACCTTCTCTTTCCTCATCACAATTCACTGTTTTTTTCTTGTTGTTGTTTTTTTTTTTTTGAGACACGGTCTTGCTGTGTAGTCCAGGCTGGCTTTGAACTCACTGTGTAGGCCAGGCTGGCCTCAAGGCAATCCTCCTGCCTCAGCCTCCTAAGTGCTGGGATTACAGGTGTGAACCACTACACCTGGCTTGCATGTCACGTTTGCCTGTGTGCCTTTTCTTCCAGGTCCTGTCCCCAGGTGGGGTCTGAGGAGGCACCCAAGAGGAGATGGGCCTCAGTATGTCCCACCGCGGTAGACTGGAGGAGGAGACGCATCTCAGGGCACGCGGGGGGCGG